GCCCCTCCCCCACACACACACTGCACCATAGCTGCCCCCTCCTGTCGCATGCAGTGCCTGTTAGTGTGCCTACCAGCCAACAGCCACACGGTCAACGAAGGGAAATGAGAAAAAAAACAAACAAAAATAACGGGATTTACTTTCACATGCATTTTCAAGTTTATTATTATTATTACGGCTACTGCTATATTACTGCAACCGTTAGTTATTGTTCTCAGTGTCCGTTTGTGAAATTCTGGCCCAGCTGCCTCCTCGGCCTGATCTCATCAGCTTTGCTCGCGGTTCCGCTCGTGCTCGTACCGGGTCCGTGCCGAGCGAAACGGGCCGCTTCAGTTACGGGACGTGCGGTTCCCTTTCGTCGCCAGCGTATGATGAGATCAGCTTCTTTGGATCCATCTGGACCATTAAAGCCTAGCACCATCTAGCGGCCATGTCACAAAAGTTATTGTTGTTTCCCCCCCCCCCCCCCAAGCCAGGGGTGAGGCATGATGGGAAATGAGTCCTGCATGTTGGGGTAGTGCATGCTGGGATGTGGCGGGTGCGGGCAGTCAGCCTTGTTCTGGGGTGGGTGGACAGTGCTTTTGAGTGGCGCGTTCCCGGGTCCGTCCCGCCTGCTTGCCGGCCACCCTGGGAAGTAGGTGAGAAGGGTTTGAGGTCAAGGTCACCGCTTTCAGTGTTACGAAGGTGCTCAGTGCGTACCGCCCGCTTTGTGACTTTGACAAGTTGGGACAGACTTTTATTTTTCTCTCTTTCTGCATTTCCTGCAATGTAGATTAGCATCACGGTCATTATCATTTTTACTATTATTATTATTATTATTATTATTATTATTATTATTATTATTATTACTACGTGTAGTATTTTCAATCCCTTACGGTCCTCTCCTTTGTAGTGGGGGTGTTTGGCAGGGTGGGGGCACCCTCAGCCAGGGAGGGGGGGAGGGGATGCAGTGTTTCTGTGAAAAGCTTAGAGCACTTCTTGCCAACTTCAAATCTACGGCGTCTTCTCTGGGGGAGGTTGTATACCTGAGAGGTGCTTCGCCTGGGAGACGATAATGAAAAAGCTAGCAGACTATAATGCGTGTCAGATGTATTGTATGTAAATGGGTAAGACGGAAGCATAGGTTAAGACTAAACATGATTATATTGCAGGGCTAGGGTTAAAGTCTATACCAGCAATGCATTGGGGTCATCTTCATTGTGCCCCCGCATGCTTTCCGTGAACCGAAACAGCAGTAGAATAGGAACACCAATCAGACCTCAAGAGAGAGCAGGAAGTGGGCGGAGTTGGATTTGCTCTGTCTCATGCCAGTTAAACAGCTATGTCCAGTGGCATAGACGTCTTAAGTTTCTTTGTACTGTCTAGTTTTTCAGCTCAGCATTTTTTGTGTTCTTACAATTGACCTCCTGCTTCCTCCCCCAATCAGTGAGAAGCATGAAGAGGGAGGTGGGAGTGTGGGGAGGGGGGTTATGTGCAGTCTGAATAGTGTAGCAGTGGCCCCAAGTGTGTGGGGGTGGGGGAATTAAGGTCTTTGCACTTGCTGTGGGCCACAGCCGTCAAGAATTGACTGGTCGGCTGCCCCCCGCTGAGGGAATATGGTGCCCAGCGTGGCCCGCGGGGGGGGGGGGGGGCAGGCATTCCACAGCCCTAGCGCGTGTGCTCGGAAATCTGTGGGGCCTGCATATCCGTTATCTCATGGGGGGAGGGGTGGTAGGTCTGTGGGTTTCGACACCTGTGGTGGGGGAGGTGGGGGGTGGCAGGAGTTCGTTGGGGGATTCCCAGCACACCCCCAAGTGTTCCCTCGTACACGGCGAGTTTCCCACGTCCTCCACCACGAGGGAGCTTATCGTCCTGACGCTTTCCTTCCCGCTGGCCTTTCGTAGCTGGTTCAGTTTGCAGGGTGTATCGAGGGGGACTTCAGGAGCGTCCTTCCGCGGGATGGGGCCTTCGGCCTGCAGCGCGAGCGGCCCCTGGCTACGGTATCCTCATGGACAAACTTGAACAGCAGGTGCAATATGGGAGAAGTCACGCGGCGACACGATTACGAGCGGCGGCTTCTCGTAATTTATTTAAATATTAATAAATGCACGCCCAGCTGGTTAGCTCACGAGTCGGTGCAGTTCTTGCTTTTAAGTCTGGCGTTGAGGGTTCGTTCTTGCTTTTGTTTGTAACGTTTTCTGTGTCACTGCTAAGTCTCATGTTTCAAACACGTGCAAGCATACATGTTCAAACACACACACTCGCAAGCACATGTACACACACGTACTATGCGTAATTCATTAGTGTATCTTTCTTTTATTAACCAGAAAAATAAACAATTTTTGAATGTCTTCTTTTTAAAGGTTTAAATATTTTTAGAACTTGACTTCCTCTGGCTTCTTGAATCCGTTCTGTGTTTCTGATGGGTTTTCATTTTTGTAATAAAGAAATATTAAAATTTAAACAAACAAAAGATTGTTTGAGCTATGAAATGAAATGACAATATTTACTAGGCCAGAAGTAATAATAATGACTTATTGTACATAAGCTTTTTTTCCTCCTTGGACTAAGAAAAACAAATAAATCATTGAAATTAAGATGGTTGTATATTGTGTAGAGAGGTTAACAGAAAGCCATGAATATTGTGAAGCTTGTCATTTTGTTTTGTGATCACTGTGTATTTGTGCTACAAATGTGCAAAATGTATAGGGTTCTGACACCTCTGGGTTCTTTTTATGACAATAATAATGATTATTTTTACTAGCTACTCGGAAGCATTTGGGCCCAGTGGTGTAACCTTTCGTTTCCTGGTGTCCTGCTGGAGAATCCCTTTGCTCCGTTTCATGTGTGGTCTGCAGGAGCAGTACTGAGTGTCCCAGTCATTTGTATACTTTATTTTCATGTTCCCATTACAGGATCCAAATGCAGCTCAGCCGACAGATTTTACATTTTTTTTTCCAACTTAAGCAAATACTTTTGCCTTACAACCTGAAGTGGGTTGAGAGAACCTGAAAGGACAAAAATTATTGCCGTTTTCTTTTTTCCTTTAAATATGCGTTGAAAGACTTTTAACGCTTCTACATGAAGTTTTTGACTTCCGTGGTGGAGTCCTCTATTTCCACATTGGTTGAAGAAGCAATGGACCCCCCCCCCCAGACACACACACACACACACACACATACACTGCCTGGCCCTAAATGACTTTGTTCCATTTAGCAGGATCTGTAATACATGGAATCTTACCAAAAGGTCACCAAAAATTTGACACGTACATACTATTATTATTATTATTTGTCTTTCAAATTTGCTTGAAAGTAGTTGAAATAAAATATGTGAAATACAATTGGATATGACCAATTTTCAGTGTATTCCTGGTTTTGATGTACTCTGGGCAACAGCCTTGGTGCTCCCACGCGAGTCGAGCATGAACGCCTGCTCGTAACACGGACCGGGCCGATCGAGAGGCACCAGCCCTCCTGTTAACAGGTCTCTGGGTATCATTAACATGCAGGTTTGCATCCGCTGCTGCAGAGTGTTATGTAGGAAGCGGTGACCATATACTGCCTTGTGTTTGCAAAGGGTCTCTCTGATTGGTTTATTCCTGATGAGTTTCCTCACTTAATACTTGTTGCTAAGCTATGGATGGAATCAGGCTGTGTCTTCATGCAGGGGTAAAGTCTGTTATCTTCAAGCCTGCTTTTGAGATGCAGAGCATATGGGGGGGGGTTGTGTCTTTACACCAGAAGATGAGCTGAAAGTACATGCATGCAGTGCTGAGGTACTGCTGAGGCTTCCAGTATCTACAGACATGGGATGATTTAAATGGGACCAGAAGGAACGGTACTGAATTGGACCTTAATGCTAAAAGTAAAATGACAGCGTTCAGTTGTCTTTTCACAATGAAATCAGACCTATTGCACATAATTTATATTTATGTTTTAAGAAAAAAGAATTGCTGTTTGAATACTGCCAACTGATTTATAACAATTAGAGACAATTAATGATTATGCATTGACTGAAAGAAGCTAATTTTGGAGGAAATAACTTTGTAATAGATATCTGTTTAATAAAGGATGGATACATTACTTTTTGTTTTTTATGTTTTTCGTCTGGTGTGTGTGTGCGCGTATGCATTTCTTTGTTCCTTTTTCTACCTGTCTGCCATATATATATAGTGTGTGTAATGCAATGCATTCTGGGAATGGATGGGTACAAAATGTTCTGCAGTGCAGTTATTCTGGGCTTGTGTAGATACTGTTTATCAAAGAACATTCAGCTGTGGGTAAACATTTCATTAAGGGTGTATTAAGGCAGCCATATATTTGCTGCTGCATTAGAATATCTACATAGGCCTGGTGTTACGAGTGCACAGTAAACCGTGATGAAGATGGTTTGTCAGTGGCCATAGTACATTGTGTATTTTCTGTGTATTTGAAGAACATTTATGCTGCTTGAGGAGCTGTTTTCCATGCCCCTGTGTGTGAGGATGATGTGATAGCTGTTTGGAGTTCTGGGGGGTGGATGTTCAATGGTAAACTTTTGCCATTTTTTTTTTCCATTATTATTATCATTATTTATTTTCTGTCTGTTCGATGAGTCTAAGGTGTCCTGTCCTGCTGGGAGAGTCACAGTTGGAATGGGGCTGCAGTTTGTGCTGCGTGATTTGTCACCTTGTTGAGTCAGAGCAGCCAGAACAAACCACCTTTTAAGTCACTGTTTGTTTATCTTGCAGTTTTATTCATGTGCATTTTATTAATTGTTTTTTGATTTTTTTTTATATAAAGATGGCTGACTATCTGTGCAGATCACAATCTTGCACAACCTAGACCTAAGAACAGGAATGTGCCCCCCCACCCATCCATCCATGGAGATGACAGATATATATTGTGTGTATGTGTGATCCAAATGAAACTGGTGCCCTTTCACAGCAAAAAGTCTTTGGGGTTAGTTCTGTTTTAAACATCCTTTTCTTAATGTCACTTACACACTGTTAATGTTCTCAGTGCACCTCACTTTTTGTCCCTCTCCTGTTTAGGTGAGGTTAGGGTCATCAAGTTAAAAGGGGGTTGGTGTGTTGCACCTCTAGTTTTATGTGTGAATGTGAGTTTGTGCTGAATTATGTGTGATTCTGTCTCACTACATCTATATGCGTTCTGTGAAAGCTTACTTCCTCTGAGAGTGGATGTGCAGGGGTGTGTGTATGTGTGAGAGAGAGTGTGTGTGTGTGTGAGAGAGAGAGAGAGATTGTTTTTCACATAGAAATTAATGGATAGTCCCCACAAAGATAGGATTACAAACGTGTGTGTGTTTTGCAGGGATGTGCTTCTTGTTGTAAGTTTGTGTGTCTGACTGCGCTGCCTTGTCTAAGGTCTGGGATTTTTTTGTTGTTTTTGCTCCATTTCATCCATCCCTCCATCTGTCCATCCATTTTCTTATTTTCTTTCACATGGATCAGTCTCTTCTATGAATGCCTTGAAGGATTGTTGTTAATGTTTCCTCAGGGTGTAAGGACGTTCTGCCATCTTTGAAGATTCCCACAAACCAACACTTCTCCATCAATCATCTGAAATTCACAGGACCATCAAAATTCATGGATTTCACATGATTTCACATAATATGCTGACATCAGCTGTATAGTTTTTACGATCCAGTTTCGCCAGATTATTATGAAAGTCCATGCTGCTGGTCTTTTAGTTTTTTGTTAAGGCTTAACATTTTTATTTCTAGCCAAAACTGCATGTAAGGTACTTGGTTGATTTAAGAAGAGCAACTGCATCAGTGTATTTTATAGATGCATTACTGACTGATTTTAGTTTTTCTTCCTACTTTGAATTGTTACTGGTAATTATGCTGTTTTACTGCTATAAAGAGATTTGCTTAGTCGGAATTGCTTCCGCAAAGTATCTAGTCATGTAAATGGGAAACGTTTAATAGTGTTGCTAAGCAACAAAAACAACAACAATTATTCTGAACAATTGCCCTTCACATAAAAAATTGAATACTTTTATAATGATATAATTATGTAAATAGGTTAGCAGGCCTGCCAGAATGCTGGAGAGAGTCTGAGGTAAGACAAATTCTGCAACATGTACCCCTGGTTGACATATTTTAATGAAAGAAAATAGATGTGCAGATCTATGAATGGCTTTGCTTTCAGCTATTTTATTTATTGCTGGTTGATTATTCTGTTTGAATGGCAATGACTCAATGATCACAGTTTTTAAACTGCATTTGTTATGGTACCATACTGTGTGGATTTCTTGCAGCCCTGGGTTATCATTGAATATTTAGGCCTATCTAGCAATTCTTTGCTGGCTTATTAGTATATTATGGTAAAAGTATTGCAGCATCAAGACACTGGCTCCCAGATTCAAACGATTTTTCTGCATCAATATTAACTAGACATGGCCTTCTTGCAATGCTTCTTTCCCCTGCAATTTATGTGTTGTAAAATATAAGAGTTGCTTGTTTTCACTGCACTGCTGCGCATGAGTTGTCTGTTGTGTGAATGTTCTTGATGAACTCGTTGGCCAATAAAAGACCTCGAGCCTTGAATCTTGCGACGTGAGGGTGTTCTCAGGATATACGGAGAGGGCTGGACTGGCCATCTGGCATAGCAGTTATTATCCCGGTGGGCTGATGGTACGTGGAACAGCAAAATTTACCGTGAGCTTCCGCAAAGCCCCGGACTGATTTTTAATCCTAGTCATATCCTGTATGCAGACGTCAAGTGTCAATGTTTCACATTGAGATAAAGCCTCAAGAAAAACAACTGAATAAATGAATAAATAAATAAAATAACAGTAATAAAACACATATGGGTAAATATCAGCAATCAAAACTAGAAATTTTATATGTAATTACACTACATATACAGATTTCGGATTTGGTATTGCCTGGCCGTTGTGATTTGCTCACATTCGGTTTCTGCTGCATTGGACCGATTAATAATGAATGAGATGCTCTTTTGAAGGCACTAATCTGTATGCAAAATACAAAACATTTGAAAGGTTCCGCTCCGAACAGCTAAACCTCGCTTTTCTGAAGTTATCTTTCTGTGCAGATCAAACTTCTCTCATTGCCGTCCTTTGTCCTCTTCCCCCTGTTTGGACTAACATTTCTCAATCAGCATCTCGGTATTTGTCAAGAATAAGTGAAGTAGGTGTAAAGGGATATTGTCAGATGTGCTGAATGTTGACCGCATGCTGCACAGAAAGTCTGCAAATAGACCTACGTAATTAAGACGACGCAAATAGTTCTTGGTCTGAACCATAAATAAATAATGCTAAATATGCTGTATATTGAGGTAGTTGACTGGCAGTACACTGATATACATAATGTCTTATTGTGTTTTATTAAGAGACGAATGCATTACCGTACGGCTGTGGTCTGTTAATGCGCAAGACACCTTTTAAATATGATGTTGCCATTTCAAATCTTACCACCAGGTGGTAGTGTTCGCTATAAAACTAAAGTTTAAATGAGCTATGTCAGTAGAAATGCATGTGACGATTGGAACTGCATTCCATTCAAAAAAAGATAAAATAATAGTTGGTACAGCATGTACTGTAGAGAATTATGACATTACGAGTCCCAGGAGAGCGAGACTTGCTAAGCAATGCAAATGTAAGTGCTTCGCCGAAGAGGATTCAGCAGTTTACTGACATCAACGCGGAAGGGTATGCCACGCATACAGTAGCCGAAAGTAG